TTGATTTGGGTCTTGATATATATATATATTCTTCTTCAGAGGTATGTAAATGTACAAAAATTGCATAGTTCCATCAAATATACCATATATTTCTATATTAGTCTTTTCTATAGTTGGAAGAGTCTCAAGAAATGCCGATTGATTTTGAGGTTGGAACAAAATACAATTTTGGATAGAATATTACAGTCTGAACATAAAATTTTGAAATTGCAATACGGTTACGATAGGTCGCCAATTTTATTATGGTTTCTAGTGTGCATTACTAGACAATTTGTGTGGGTAGTGGAAGTGTATGTAAGATTGTGAGACATCTGGTAGCTTGTTTGGCTTTGCACATGAACGAAAAATGTATGTCATATTGGATTAAAGGAAATAATAAATCACACGATAACGTGCAAACAGTATACAGGTAAAAAGTCGACACAATTAGAGTAAATGTGGTTAAGTTTCGTGACTAATCTCTTTATCAAGCGTAAAAAAGAGCGAGGAAACCACTTTGTTCGGTGGCTTAGTAAAATATCACTGTGTATTAGAGGAACATTATAGTTACACTTTGATTATGTAAAAAACTGGACAGAGGAGGAAATATATCTATACACAAATATTAGGGAATAATGACAACCATTGCTCAAGGCGCCTTGGTCCCTTTCCCATTCTACTGACAAGACAGATTTTTAATTACATCCCCACATCGTCTGAACAAAGAACAAAGAAACTATCTACAAGCTAGTGCTGAAAAGGGAAGAAACATGAGGCTACATGGGTATAATCCGAGGATCGCAGACCTCCGTAGGCCCCAACTAGAATCCGCAGACTCCCTATGCTACATTCAGCAGACTCCAACTAGAATCATCTGATCGACTAGAATCAGCAGACCAACTATACTATATTCCGCAGACTTAACTCATCGGTCTGATGATTCTAGTTGGGTCTGCAGAATATAGTATAGTCGGTCTGATGATTCTAGTTGGGTCTGCGGAATATGGTAAAGGGGGTCTGCTGATTCTAGTTGGGTCTACGGAATATAGTATAGGGGGTCTGATAATTCTATTTGGGTCTACGGAATATAGTATAGAGGGTGTGATGATTCTCGTTGGGTCTGCGGAATATAGTATAGGGGGTCTGATGATTCTAGTTGAATCTGCGGAATATAGTATAGGGGGTCTGCTGATTCTAGTTGGGTCTGCGGAATATAGTAAAGGTGGTCTGCGGATTCTAGTTGGATCTGCGGGATATAGTATAGGGTGTCGGCTGATTCTATTTGGGTCTGCGGAATATGGTATAGGGGTCTGCGATTCTAGTAGGGGTCTGCGATCTTCGGATTATAGATGTCTGAGATCTTTGATTTTTGGATTATATACTACCCTACGTAAGGCTGTAAAGACAGGCAAACCATACTTTTGTTTTTTCCTTTTTTTTACTCAGGTTTGATATGGGTAATACTTACTTGACGTGAGTTTGAACTGAGATGGAGGTGGATATCGGAGAGGCAGCCATGAAAGCAATCGACTACAAAATATCATAATACATGTAAATATCAATTTAGTGTAACAAATTGCACAACATATCTAACGATCCAGTGAAAAATACAAAAGTACATGCAGCCATTTTATGTAGCGCAGTTACAAAACATAAACGAATGTCTGAACACTACCTGAAAGATTTATTACGTGAAACAAATGACTACAGAACTGTAAACAGCCCCGAGCGTGGCAACGAGACTTTATCCCATGGTTTTCAAACCTTTTGAAACCTCTAGTCTGTTCATAATTCTAGTGATTTGTCTTACTTAATAAACCTTTCAGGTAGTGTACAGACATACTTTTATATTTTATAGCTGCTACATAAAATGGCTGCATCTCGGAGCTGTTCACAGTTCTAGTTGTTTTTAAAATTATAGCGGCCATGTCGAAATATAGAAAAATACAAAATGGACTCAGACCACCAAAAACATTTTATGTAAATGACAGTATACGAATGTTATTTTTGGAAATCTTCCTTCTCGCTCTCTTTTTGGTTTTTGCATGCCTATTTTTTACTAAGTTATGATCTAGATTTGGAATTTAATGTCTGAAATTGCACAATCTTTCAGATTTTGTGACATGATGAAAGATTTTCATGCAGAAGGATAATTCTAAAAAAAAATAGTAGCTTTGTGTGCTGTAATGACAGTCAAGCTATGTTGATAAAATGCAATTGTCTACTTTCTATCTATCTATCTATCTATCTATCTAACTATAAATCGAGATTTTCATGGTCATGTTATATTTTTGTCCAGAAACTAAGTATTGGTGAGGCTTTCATGTGACATATTGGAAAGTTTTAGTCGAGATTTCTGGAACACGAATTTCGTGATTTAACATGGAAACAGATGGNAAATAAATTATCAGTCTTAGTCTATACATTACAATATGGACTCACTCCACTAAAACATTTTATGGCAATGATTGTATAGGAATGTAGTCCAAGCTATTTTTAGTGGGTAAATTTTGGTCTAGATTTGGAATTTGATGTCTGAAATTGCATTATCTTTCAGATTTGGTGAGATGATGAGAGACTTAAAGGCGGAAGGCTAATTCTAAAAATAGTCGTTTTGTGAAGTGCCAAACTCTAGCGGATGAGTATAACCGGTAGTAGTCTACTTTCAATTTTAGTAGCTCAAAATTTTCATGGTCATCATATAATGAATTTTTTAGGAGACATTGAGAATTGGTCAGGCTTTCATTCGACATGTTGGAAAGCTTTCTGGAAAAAGTTATAGAAGGTTGAATTTCGTGTTTTAACATGGGAAGAGATGGCAAATGAATTAGTGGAGTGAGTCCATATACAATAAGACTTACCTCCCCTAATAGGACAATTTCCCATAGCAACTATTAATAAGGTAGAACTGCAAAATAAAATTCAAAACTTTATGACAAGGGAACATGATTATCAATGTATATGCTAAGGACTCATAGAACATAAATTAAAGAATGTCCTTTGTTGGTCAGATCTTCTTTTGTTTGGTAACTGCGGTGATACGCTGACGAAGCCCATGGTAAAGTATAGATATAGTGTAATGTATAAAATCTGACGGAGGTTACAGTGGCATTCTATCTTTAGAAGTTATTCACTATAGATTAATAACTCTTTATGTAGCTGTTTAACAATAAATATTCCTATACAAAAAGGCCAAATTGGTGTTTTAAATAGAAGTATAGAAATACGTACATAATATACAATAACGTTAGGCTTGATATTTCACTTGTCATGTATTTAATGTGTTTGTGTATCGTTCCTATGTATGGATTTTAAATGCACCATAGAGCAAATCTGTATTCTGACTGAAAATTTGAATGGTTGAAATCGATAATCAGTTGTTGTTAAATTTAGTTGTTTCTTTCATTCTTTTTTATGCATTTACAAAACAATTGTTGACTTAAACATAGACTAATCCTACATTAAGCATAGCAGTAATGTTATAGCTATGTTCCGAACAGTAAAAGTATTTGATCAAATATCAAAAGAATCATAAAGTGTAGACAAGAGCTGGTTGGTATCATCAAATTCATGAAATTGTATTTGTTGACGTCAAGACTGTATTGTAATGGAACTGACAGCGACAATTCTCATGGTTCTACTCCTGATATCACCCACAGATTCTCATGGTTCTACTCCTGATATCACCCACAGAACCTAACCATCAATCCAACAGACAAGCACCGGACATACAATAATTTCACTATTATTTCTTATCGTTTACACCTTTCCATTCTTCTTTGCATGTTGTTTTCAAAATGTTCTGGGTCAACTAGGATTATAAATGAACTCATCATATTATGATACTCTTGCAAATTTAGTGTTTCGTGAAGGTAGATGAAAACAGTCTATTGAAACTATAAATTACTGGACTAAAATAATAAAATGACAATACCTGTTCACTGCCTTCTACCAAATATTGCGACTTTGTCCAAGAAGGAAGTTGATTAAAAAATCATTAACATTGTACACAATTAGGGTTTATCACGTGATTAGGGGTAACAAGGCGGTGCAGGACTTTAAATGGGTTTTAAAAGAGTCGTACCATATCAATAGATTACGTGTGGAACACAAACCGTTTATGAAAACTAAATATTTGTTAAAAATTTATAAAAGCGGGGAAAGCGTAGACATTTTTTTACATTTCATGGCCCGAGTAACACACTGTACAAACTACCCTATAGGTAATTTTGGGACTGAGTTTGATCTGTAATAACCAATAGGTTTAAAAAAAAACATTGGAGATGCGGAAAATCTCCAGAAAACGTGGCCAAAATTTCGGAGACTGGAATAGAGGCCGATGTTTCTGACTATCAATAATGTGTACAATCAGGGTTCAGTTTAAGCGGTATTGAATTGCAGTTGGTCAGTCAAAATGACCCCTTTTGCGAAATCTATAAAAAATAACGACAACAATCCTTAGTCTCTTTAACCGTAAGAACTGTCGCCATTGGCAACATCGATCTAAAGTATGTGTATCGGGGATACCTTTGGCTTCTATTTGGGAAATTACAATTCTTTGTCAGATGCCCGTGGTTCCTGCAATTCCCAAAAGAGTAAACCGGAAATGACACAGCTCCTGCAAGAGAATTTGTAACCAACCTAACACCAGACCACAATAACATAATAATATAGCCGCATCATTTCCGGTTTACTCTTTCTAGAACTGCAGGAACCACAGAATTGGAATGTCCCAAATAGAAATCATAGGTGTCCCCGATACACATAAAAAGGTTAGAAAACATCTTCACAATCCTTTTAAAGCAAATGGATAAATTCAACAGAGAAGAAATACAACATCGTGACCGTGAAATTAAATAGTGTTTTTATTTTACAATAATAAATTTAACATAGAAAAATTGTTATGTCTTTTCCCTTTGTAAAAATTATCATATACAATACATGCTCATGTGAGTTAATAACATTGGGTTAATGAAACCATTTCTTCGGACTTTGTCTGGCAATATGTATTTTAAATACGACGGACCAACGAAATCCAAAAACATTTGGCCTGTACGAATATTACTTATTAACTTGTGAAATCTAGTCTAGAAGGTTGTATCGTAATGTATGACGAAAAGAACCAGTTAGTAGTCAAAATTCAAATGTGAAAGAAATAGAATCAAAGTTTTACAATATACAGTATAAATAATATCAAAGATAAAATAAAATCATCACAATATATATTTTGGTAAAAGTATTTTTCATCAGCTATTAGAGCTTTATTCACAATCAAAGCAACACGTCTGGATATTTCCCCAAAATTACAGGATATCTGAATTCAAAGTATAATGAAATCTAGAAGATTCTTACAACTCAGCAAACAGATATGATTTGAGTTTGTTTAAACATTCGATAGGCCAATTAGTAAAATTTATTTCAAATTGATCTGAGTAAGCCAATCATGCTATCGGAAGCTTGAATGTATCTTAGTACTAAGAATTGAAACTAGATTGTTGGAAAAACTTTAATTGACAGAATTAATTGATGCATGTTAATCAAGCAAGGATTTCGACTTGGCTCAATTGCGATATTAATCTGCATTTGAATCTGAATCTGAATTTTAATCTGAATCTCCAACTCAATCTGAATCTGAATCTGAATCTGAATCTCAAACTCAATCTGAATCTGAATCTGAATCTCAAACTCAAACTCAATCTGAATCTGAATCTGAATCTGAATCTGAATCTAAATCTCACACTCAAGCTGAATCTGAATCTGAATCTGAATCTCCAACTCAATCTGAATCTGAATCTGAATCTCATCTCAATCTCAATCTCAATCTCAATCTCAATCTCACACTCAATCTGAATCTGAATCTCAAACTGAATCTCAAACTCAATCTGAATCTGAATCTGAATCTCAAACTCAATCTGAATCTGAATCTGAATCTCAAACTTAATCTGAATCTGAATCTGAATCTCAATCTCAATCTCAATCTCAAACTCAATCTGAATCTGAATCTGAATCTGAATCTGAAACTCAATCTGAATCTGAATCTGAATCTCAAACTCAATCTGAATCGCAATCTCAAACTCAATCTGAATCTGAATCTGAATCTCAAACTCTGAATCTCAGTCTGAATCTGAATCTCAAACTGAGACTCAAACTGAGACTCATACTGAATCGGAATTTGAATCTGAATCTGAATCTGAATTTCAAACTCAATCTGAATCTGAATCTCAAACTCAAACTGAATCTAAATATGAATCCGAATATGAGGGTACCTCATTTAAGTATTTCAAACCTTTATACATCAAATAATCATTCTCATAATCATCATTCTCCTTATTTAAATCATAGGAATTATAATCATCATCATAATCATCATCAATAACAGACATTAACTGAACAGGCAGTGAAAATCGCATAGAATCAATATCTTTAAACATCAGAAAATCAGTCAGGGTTGGAAAATCGAGAAGTTCTGAAAAACGGTCATGAATTGCTAGACCTGTATTTTGTCTGATAACTCGTCTACAAATTTCTTTCAGACTCAGGTTGTTGGCGAAAAGACAGAATTTTTCTCTCGGTTTTTCTCTTAAAGTTTCTGGCAATGATGCTTCATAATTTTCTTCTTGTTCAAAATGTAATATTTTTGTAATTTGTACAACTGAACCACCACTTAAAACCAGGATTTGTCTTAATTCATGCCTAGATTGTGAAGAAAATTCCTCAAGAGATAATTGACCATAGGAGATTTCTCCATCATCTGAGGTTAAATGTTGAAGGTTGACATTATTAAAAACAAGAAACTTGATAAAATTGACTGTTTGATCAATTTGCCATAATGGTGAGAATTGGAGTAGGTTTTGAATCAAAGTGTTACCATTAAGACATGGCTGATTAAAAGATTGTCTACAACCACGAGACAGAAGTAAATTAAAACATGTTAAATCATAAACATTGTTTGTTAAATCTATGTATTGTAGAGCAGATCGACGATGATTGTCTACAATATTCACATCAGCTCCATGTATGAATAGTGTTTCTAACAATTTTCTATCATTTTTCATACAAGCCAACATTAAAACTGTTTTACCTTTTTTATCCTGCATATTGACGTCTGCACCAAGACTGAGTAAGATACCAATACATTGAAGATATCTAGGAAAGTATTCAAAGGCACATAACTCTTTCACTATTGAATTGACTTTCATCATGTTTAATTTTTCTTTTATCAAAGTAAATCCAGTGACACATAGGTGGAGTGCTGTATGGCCCTGGTGGTTTTGTCTATTGACGTCACAGGGTAAAGGAGCTAAAAATTGAAGGAAGGGTGAATTCATGAAAAGTGAGGCCACCATTAATGGTGAATTACCATCATTATTTGTATGATTAAAATCTAATTTATAATCAAACAAAAAACTGAAATCTATGTAATAATCTATATAACATTGAGCTAAAAGATGGACTATATTTTCACCTGATGATGTTAAGTAATTGATAAAGAGACCATTCTGAATAAAAAACCATAGAGATTGAATATCACTTTCTCTCAGAATGGTATCAGCTAATCGAAACTGCGCATTGGAATTATCAGTTAAAACATCAACATTACGTTGGATTAAATCATGAAGCAATTCCACATCCTGATCTTTTGCTATTTTATGAAGGCTGTGTAAACCATCCCCAGTGGAGAAGGGTGAATACCCCCTTCCATTAATTATATTGACATCACAGTTACCTACTTCAATTAAGCACTTTATGATTTGCATATTACCATAATATAAAGCTAAATGTAACGGTATACAACCGTATTTGTCCTGTATATTAGTATCGCTGTCATTGCGACCAAGTATACGTCTTACAATTTCCATGTTCCGCTCCCGTACAGCTGAATGTAAGGGTGTTTCACCGACACGGTCCTGGATATTGACATCACAGTCCATACGGTTTAGTAAACACTCGACAACTTCTTTCTGACTCTCACATACAGCTATATGTAAGGGTGTAAAACCGCCATCCTCCTGTATATTGACATCACAGGTAGAATGATCTGTTAAACACCTTATCATTTTCGTATTTTTCCTCCATACAGCCATATGTAAGGGTGTGCGACCTGTATTATCCTTTATATTGATTCCACAATTACTTTTTCCAATCATACACCTTACAATTTCTATGTTACTCTCCTGTACAGCCATATGTAAGGGTGTGCGACCTGTATTATCCTTTATATTGATTCCACAATTACTTTTTCCAATTATACACCTTACAATTTCTATGTTACTCTCCTGTACAGCTATATGTAAGGGTGTATGACCTCTATTGTCCCTTATATTAAGACCACAATTAACTTCTTCAATTATAGACCTTACAATATCTATATTGCCATAGCATACAGCTATATGTAAGGGTGTTTGACTACTACTGTTCTGTAAATTGAAATTACTGCCTGCCCGGTTTATAAAACATCTTACAATTTGTATATTATCATTCAACACTGCTGTATGTAAAGGTATTTCACCGTAACTGTTCTGTATATTAACATTACATGTTGTCTGCTCTGTTAAACACCTTACAATGTTTATGTTACTCTTCTTCACTGCTGTATGTAGGGGTGTATCACCTCTTCCTATCTTTATATTAACATCACAGCCAACATGCTCCACTAAACACCTTACAATTTCTGTGTTATCATACAATACAGCTAAATGTAAGGCAGTATAATACAAATTGTCCTGCAAATTGACATCACAGTTAGTCTGTTGTATTAAACACCTTACAATTTCTACATTAGAATTCTGTACAGCTGTATGTAACGGTATACGGCCGCTATTGTCCTGTACGTTTACATCGTAGGTACCATTTTGTATCAAACCATTTACAGCCAATAGATCATTGTTATTTACGGCATCAAATAAAGATGTTCTGGTTTTCAAATCGGCCTGTAATAAATCAAACCATTACAATTAAATATTTTCCTTAATTAAGTTTAAGCCGAACAAGAATGAGTGTACTGAATCATTTTATAAACAAATGCACTATTAAAATATCACCTTCTATAACTATGGCTTTCGATTATCGTTCGATCTATCATTATTTGTATCTAGACTTATATCTGTATCTTATATTGTCTACGGTTTCCTATTTACTTTGCTGGTCCCAATATCTTTACAGAAAATGTATTTTACTTAAAGCTATCGGATCGCGTATAATTTTTTGTATGTAATCTTGACAGAACTTTCGAACGGATGCAGTTTTGGAAATTCGAACTTTTGTAGTAATTTTGGTCAAAACTCTAACCTCTTTATTTTTTATTTTAAAGATTACAAAAAAAAAATGAAAGGAAAAAAAATGAAAAAAGACCGTTTGAAAATTACCTAGGTCCTTTCACAGTCCTTATTTGAAATTTCCACATGTCAAAGTTTTTACAGATAGGCTACAGAAGAAAGGCTTATATCTTGTTAAAAAATTATCTTGACCTTTCAAAGCAACAATTTCATGCGCTACCTAGACTTTGAATTTAGAGCAAAGCTTTTTATTTCACAGGGCTCTTAAAATGGGTAATTTACATAATTCTCTTATTTTAAGAGGATTATAAAACATGAACTTGAATCTCGAGTGACGTTTTGTAATGTTCTTGTCATGCGTTTTTTCTTGCGATATCATGGTCCTTTAAACACTTCAAAAGGGCCCTGGATATTCCATGACCAGCTAACTATCAAGATACACACGCATAAAGACAGGATGTTGATCTTCCCCTGGTAACCTGCCTGCTTGGCACGCTCCTGAATATTTGGAACTCATTCTTGTTTGTTTGTTAAGCGATGGACGTCAATTCGCTCAACTTAAGCAAATATAAGGCCAATAAGGACTATCAATCTTACTTTGACTTTCAGACACTTAGCATTAGATGTTTTTGATTGGCCCAAATCTTCGAACCTTCTCTTTATCTTCAGCTTCGAACTTTCCATCGGTGGTCGATAGCCTGTTTTTTCTTTCACCTTACTACCAGATGTCTAGAATATACAAATTTCTACTACTACTACTATTGCATAATAACATGAAGTTGGAATAAAGCTTTAATTCTTAGACCATGATATAGTAACCAACGTTACATCTATGTCGCTAAAATAGTCTACGGGCCAAACTTAAAAAAATAGCGATGTCATCGTAATACGCCCACATTTGTAAAGGCAGCTAATTTGTCCGGGAGGTTGACAAGGGTCATCAGTAAATGAATGTTTCTGAGAGTGAAATTTTCATATTTCATGGGTTTTGTTTACAGCTTACTATTCAAGAACAAGGGCAATAACTCAAAGTCAATATTCGTCTGATATTCAATAGGGTTCATCCTTGGGTGATTACAAACACTCACACCAAGTTTCGCCAAAATCCATCAAGAAACCAGCTCTCTATCGTGTCCACAAACAATTGTGGACGGACGGACGGACCGACGGACAGGGGCGACACATTAATGTGTGGGTGTATAAAAATAGAAACATACTGAAAAATCGTGTAGCTCTTGACCCTTCGGCTGACCACACTCGTTAACGAAGCATATTGCCCCACTGAATAAATACTTCATTTCTGACAACTTTGTAAAAATATCATTTTCATACCTTTTTAATCAAAATTATGTGTCAAAATGTATCAGATTCTATGGTCTGTGGAAGAACCTACCTAACTGCTCCATAGGAGCATAAAGGTTTCAACAGAAGTGCGGCGTTCTAATATCAACCTCAACGGTTATTCCCCTATTCAGTTAGTCTGCTCTTTATTTGTAACCCCAATCACGGGAGGCTGGTGCTGCTGGCAGCTTTGATTTTAATAAAAATATTTGGCAGTACAGTAACAACTACCAGTATGAAATATTCAACCTTCAGACATACACTTGTTCTGAATTCTAAAAATTGAACGCGTTTTTAATAACATGGACAATAACTCACACTACATATTTTTCGATTTTTCTGATTTTCAATAGGGTTCAGCCTTGGGTGGTTATATACACTCACACCAAGTTTCCTCAAAATCCACCAAGAATTGTGCCTTCTAGAGTGTTTACAAGCTAAAATTGAACGCGTTTTCAAGAACAAGGGCAATAACTCATACTAATTATTTTTCGATCTTTCTGATTTTAAATAGGTACATCCTTGGGTGATAACAAACACTCACACCAAGTTTCATCAAAATCCGCCAAGAATTGCACCTTCTAGAGTGTTTACGAGCTAAAAATTGAACACGTTTTCAAAAACAAGGGCAATAACTTATACTAAATATTTTTCGATTCTTCTGATTTTCAATAGGGTTCATAGGTGACGGCAATATGCACCCCCATTTCATGGGGCGTACAAAAATGAGGACTCGTCATTTTAAGATCCTCTATGATACATAGAAAAGATATTAATAGAAATAGTGAGTATAATCTAAGATATTTGTGCAGGAATTATGTGATTTTTTCGTAAATTTCTAGTATTTCTGAAGACTATTTACATATATTTCAGATCAACTTCAAAATGGCATACTTGTCCCTTTAAGATTTCTGAAAGAGATGTCCTAGGATTCAGAAATAGAAATTTTTTGTAAAGGAAATACTCTAGATTAAAAATATAAGAAAAAAAAGATAACTTAATGTGAATATAACAGGTGTAAACGATAAGAGATACAGTCTTATATAACAAACACGATGTTTCTACAATACTTCACTAACAAACACGACTTATCTACAGGATTTTTCTTTCGCTCTCACGTCTTTCTCCGTGAATTGAATTTTGCTGATTATTTTTAAGTGAATTGTAGTACCAGGTTCAAAACAGTTATGTAATTCGTAGATCAATTTCTTGAAAATTTGTCTGCTTGACATTTCGCTATTCCCAGAGAACAATTTACAGAGTTGATAAATTTCGACAAGAAATGTTGCATATTTTGAATAGTTCTCTCAAAAACCAAAGTGATATCGTAATTTCATCGACGTAAAGTTGTTCTATGTACTATCGGTACACAATTAAGCTGATTTTCAAATCCATGCGTGTTCGTGACACACTGGTTTTTTTTTAAAACTAACTTTACTAAATTGTACAGCACTTCTAACTTTATGACCTTGGTCCGTGCTTTTTATGGGAATTCTATTCACGTAACACCCCAACACTGGATATGCTTTTGTTATATAACCCTGTATTATAGAAAAAAACAACAAAAGCGAGGCTATAAATAGACGATGTAAAGAATATTCTCTATTCAATAAATTCAGATATCATAATTCAAAAATTATTGTGACAAAAATCAACAAAAGAATTGTATGACTAAACCTCAACATTGATTTATATATTTGTAATCGAGTTACATGTAGTGGTAACCATTTATGGTGCAATTGCGTCTTTCTGTTTTTGACCAATCATACTTTAGTCTCAAAGGGGAATTTTTTTTAGCTAAGCCAATAGGTAATAGTGTTCGGCATCTATAGAAATAGCATACGAAATTACTAGTTTAAGATATGAGATAATAAGGAATTGTGCGATTTTCGTCCATTTCTAGCACTTCTGGACACTATTTACATATATTCAAGACTCTAATCAACCCCACAGAATGGCGCATCTGTCCCTTTAAACACAGTTGTATATCGCTTTGGACCGTCAAATGATTAAAATACAAACAAAGTGAACAAGTTCTTGCTGTTCATAAACATAGGATTCCTCTAAACAATCTAGCAAACGCTCAAAGCATCAAAGCAGGCAGGAAGGATGGAGCCACAATTATTATCGACGACAACGACTAAAATATATGGTCCTAGATATTTTGACTGATAAAAATAACTAACTTTTCAAACCGTTCTAAAAATGAAGAAACTTGTCTATAGATTAATAAGTTAAAATAACTTAAGTTAAGTAAAGTTACGATAAAGAATGCGAATCTCCACTTAGTTCGTTTTAACATAAGAGTAAAGAAAATGAAAAATGTTCTACATCTACCAGCGAATCTGTTAGCTTACCTTGTCCATGCGATCCAATCATCACTAGAACTATAGAACGTCGTATGAAATGTATGGTATCCATGTGTCTGAATTTCACATAATGAAAGGAGCAGATGATAGTGATAGTCAGATGAGTCAGTTTATGAAGTCGATTTCGGGTTAAGTATTTCCTTTGCCAAGTCTCGTTGCTGGATTAAATATGACATCAGATCCTCTATACAGGTCATATTAATATATTATATCATATAAAGATACGATAGAAACTTGAACTCGAATATGTTTGTATTACATTATAATGTTTAAGGAAATATTAAATCTGGAAACCCATTTTATAAATTTCGTATGACATAAGCTCTCGTTTAAGATCCTCTTTATAATGCACATTTTTCTTATTTGTAATAAATAATGTTTCAAAATTGTCGAATACTAACTACTTAGTTCATTTTGGTTACAATCTTTAAGATAGCTTGACAGGCAAGGTAATATACGCTCATTGGCAGCTTTGATTTTAAATAAAAATGTTTGGCAGTACAGTAACAATTACCAGTATGAAATATTCAACCAATATTGATTTTTTTGAGGCGATACTGAATAATATTACCAAGCTGTGTTATTCTAATGTATGTCCAAACCTGTCTGTAGTTAAGCCTGCGCATGCGTGGGCATACTATTTTTTTGACAGGAACGTTATATGTTTTCTAACGGAAAATAATAACACGATCGCTGTTAATTTACGGAAAATATGGTTTTGATCTGTAACTTGAGTCACAATAATTCGTCAACCCTAATTTGGTCACTGAATATTCGTCAACGGTTATACTTTATGAATTCCTTAAATTAAATTTAATATGGTGAAGTGAGTTACATGGAGAACTTGAAATGCTGACCCGATATTCCACCACTCATTCCTGTTCTATTATCACCCTTTGTCAAAAACTACAAAATGCAGTTTTTTCTGTACTGAAATATTGTCTGTCTAATGCTTCTTCAGTATTTCAGGTGTGTGTGTTTTATATTGCTTAGTATATGGTGGGGTGGTGCTGTGTCAATCTGTCAATAGGTGAAAAGCTGATTGCCTGAGTGTGATTCTAAGGTTGGCTTCACATAGTATTTTAATATTGATTTACCTTAAGTATTAAAGATACATAATTATAATACAAATCCTATTTGTAAGCTTGTACATAGGACTGTAATAGATTATAGTTCTATGGTTTGTATAATCATTAAAATCTAAACTTATCTTTCTTGCAGCTTTAATATATACTTTTGTACTGTTAACAGATTATATAAATTAGTTATTAGTTTTACTTTAAACCCCTTTTTCAGGGTAGGTACTTTAGTATTTCTGACTATTTTACATTTTACATACATTCAATAAATACATTCTGCTAGCATAGCCGCAAGAGTTACGTACCTTTCGTACGAGTTAGTTCCCTTTACATCTATACTAGTTTTATTTGTGCTATCGTCTGCTATTTTTCTGTGATATGTATTATTATTATTTTAATTGTATACTAATGATTGTAATATATATTTCAGAGTTTTTAAAAAAACGGTAAAACTAATTAGAATTTGATTAAACTGCTACGCGCCATTACAATTGCACCAAAAACAGCCGAGATATATCATGATTGATATATTGCAATAATTAACACTAACAGCACAGGTTTTTATAACCAGTGGTATAACAGTAGCGGCTAAGAGCAGTTTGGTCAAACGAACACGGTATCAATTGTAGAGTGCAAGCATGTAGAGAATGAAAAGGTATATGATGAACTGAGTGTCCCCCGGGGACCCCTTGCTGCTTTTGGCCCCAGAGAAACCAAAATGAGGGAAAAAAAAACGCTAGATAAAACATAGACTGGAACCACACACAGTGTAGTCCAGGGTAATTTATACTGGTCGAAAAATGACCCATGTCAGAGACACTGCCTGCCCGCCAGACACCAAAATAGGGCCTCAAAATATTCTCGATCATCATTGATACCACTTGAAACAAAGTCACATCTCAGAGAATACAGAATGGTCAACCCTGCTGACAAATTGCGTTGCATTATGAAGATGTATTACATTTTACAAAATACGACTTTCAACTAACGAAAACGGGCAAGGGTTAAATGACGGAAAATTCTTGCCGGGACAGCAGCATCAAGTCGGGAATAAACGATGTACGATGTACGGTGTCAGGTGCGGTGTAGGTGTGGGATGATCGATACAGTAGAAAATAGAACAAGTGAACACACGAGGTACGGGTCCGGACACGATGCGAACACTATTCGCGTCTACTATTTCTACTGTATCGATCATCCTGTACACCGCACCGGACACCGTACATGATCTATCCCTACTTTTAGCCTGCTCTTTTTCGATTTCTAACTGACGTGGGATCTTTGACGTGCTCCTACAAAGCAACACGGTAGAAATACGACATACTTTTTGACGCGTTGATGAGAAGATACATTTGAGTATATGAATCATTTTATTAAAGAAAGCAGGACCCTGACAAGAGGCCTTTTCAAACATCATAAATATATTTATATTTAAGCATTATAAAAATTCAAGTGCGCCGTTTTTTGACCGTATCTTAGTCACAGAAACTTGAATTAATAGTAAGAGTGTTCACAGCTCACCATCGACATTTGAGTCTATGGGTTTCCTTATTTTTTTAATGTCAAATGAAATGAAATGTATGGAGTTTTACGTCCTACTTTTCTGCACCTTGTGGGTAATGTCAAATGAAGCTAACTATTCGATTAATTTGTGTCATGTATTCTTAATCATATCATTATGTTCTTAATGCATATAATAAAGATTTTTAACCAATCATATATGTCCATGTAATTGCAGTCTGGATAAACAAAATAGGACTTTTTGACCTTTCTTGATCGGTCACTCATTGGAATTCTGCTGGTAATTCACTTCTTATTTAGCTAAATTATGAATTTATTATGGACATGTGAGACAAACTGGTGTTTTTCCAAGTCATTAGAGCACCTCTACTCTCTATTCATACAAGTATTAGCATTTTCATTTTCATTAATTATGGACATGTGAGACAAACTGATATTTTTCCAAGTCATTAGAGCACCTCTACTCTCTTTTCATATAAGTATTAGCTTTTTCCATTTTCATCAATGAAAATAAGGGAACCCATCTTTAAATCAATGTGTGTCCAAAATTATCTGCGTTTAAAGGTTTAAAAGTTTCAAAGACGACTCGTCATTTGAGATACTCTGTGATATAAAAGAAAATTCATATTTTGAAGTATTTTTTAAAGAAGTAATGCGATTTTTGTACATTTCCGGTATTTCTGAAGACATTTTACATATACTCAAAACCCAAATCAACCCCGAACCTGACCAACTTGTCCCTTTAAATTACTTTAGAACTTGTTTTCCTTGTCAAATTTCACACGATGTATTTGCCTCATTTGCTTATAAAGTCATGGTTTAGAAATATTTACAGCTTATTACACCACTACCATATCAACTATATGCACCGACAAAATGAAATGAAAAAAGGCCCGAAGTCTTTTATACGTTATTTCATTATTCTATAATAGCTCTTTTCACACGACACGAAGCAAAAGAATAATGAAACTTGACAGTTAAATATCAGAAAATCTCCATATCCCTATAAAATAATTATCAAAAATACTAAAAAAATGAAATGACACGAAACAGTATTATAACGAACTTGGGCCTACAGTACTACAGGTTGGAAACCCGGGCCTAAGATACGTTGATTCAGATTCAAACTCCACACAAAATAAGGCATCTGATTTGTCCGTCAACATTTCTCGTGGATGCTGAAGAGACTAACGTTCGCCTCTGATTTGATTAAACTTGGGATGAAATATTAGATTTAATTATCGATTTTATCTTTAGTTATTTTCTAGAATTGACTGAATTTGATGTCATTAACTGTACAATATTTCACAATTTGTGACTGATGACGTGGGTTTATTTTATCTTTCCTAGTAATCCATGTTATTTGAAGTCGTTCTACTAAAATTCAAGATTGACTTATTTTGGTATTTAAAGAGGTAAAGATGTGAAAGAAAGAAATAACGAAGCAAGTCAACCAAAACGACTTCTTAAATTGTCTACCATTAGTTTAGCATCTTTGATCATCGCCGAGACATCAGCGAGTATTAGTCCACCCAGAACAATTGATATGGCAGCAATTCCGAAATAACCCATTCCAGTAGAGGAGTCTCGCTCGTCCGGTGCGCTAATTTTCTTTCTGACCACAGCTGAGAGGTTCTTTTTCTCCACAATCAGTTCTTTTTTCGCTTCATCTCGTTTCTCTTCAACAAATTCCTGGAACTCTTCTTCCGTAGCTGGAATTACAGGAACTGTGATGTTGATACATCGACAGTCACATGTGTCATTGATAAAAGCTTCCACTGAAATCATAAAAAGGTTAATTAAATACAGTCTGTGTCACCTATACATCGTTAAGACAGTGTACGCCCAGTATTAGACTTATCGTCCAGACAGTATCTACTCAGTATTAGACTTATCGTCCAGACAGTATCTACTCTGTATTAGACTTATCGTCCAGACAGTGTACGCTCAGTATTAGACGTACCATCAAGACAGTGTACGCTCAGTATTTGGCGTGACGTGAAGACAGTATCAACTCAGTATTAGAATTATCGTCCAGACAGTATCGACTCAGTATTAGACTTATCGTCAAGACAGTGTACGCTCAGTATTAGACGTACCGTCAAGACAGTGTACGCTCAGTATTTGGCGTGACGTGAAGACAGTATCGACTCAGTATTAGAATTATCGTCCAGACAGTATCGACTCAGTATTAGACGTACCGTCAAGACAGTGTACGCTCAGTATTTGGCGTGACGTGAAGACAGTATCGACTCAGTATTAGACTTATCGTCAAGATAGTGTACGCCCAGTATTTGGCGTGACGTGAAGACAGTGTCGACTCAGTATTAGACTTATCGTCCAGACAGTATCGACTCAGTATTTGGACTTACTATCAAGACAGTATCGACTCAGTATTTAGACTTACTATCAAGACAGCATCGACTCAGTATTTGGACTTACTATCAAGACAGTATCGACTCAGTATTTGGACTTACTATCAAGACAGTATCGATTCAGTATTTGGACTTACTATCAAGACAGTATCGACTCAGTATGAGACTATCGCCAGGGCAGCGTAGGATCAGTCAGTATATGTACTTACCACCAAGACAGTGTCAACTCACTAATTGCACTTACCGTCAAGACAGTGTCTACTCAGTATTAGAGTTACCGTCAAGACAGTATCGACTCAGTATGAGACTATCGACAGGGCAGCGTAGGATCAGTCAGTATATGGACTTACCACCAAGACAGTGTCAACTCAGTAATTGCACTTACCGTCAAGACAGTGTCGGCTCAGTATTTGAAATTCAGAGCTTGCACTCTGTAATGCGATCGTTGAGGGCTGATCCACGCTTAGAACTGCATAACATATTGTTCCACCGTTAGTTTGTATTTGGTACTCGGCTATCCAGCATTCTAATGTCTCGAATATATCAGTTCCATTTCCGCGAAATTTAGTACACAAGTCCTGACATTGCTTGGTCGTCAGGTCCCCTTGTCCAATGAAAAACAAAGTTTCGTTGATGTTGGTAGATGAAGACCTGTTGAATTTGTCTCTAAAATCAGCTTCATCAGCTGAAATGGAGTAAAATAATACATGATTCAGGCGCATCAATGATGGATTGCGTCTACAATGAAGCGTTTACATTATCCAGCAAGGCAAAGATCCAAATGTTTCATTTCATTTACTTCCAATACATCTTCCAAATAAGAAATATGTGCAGTTAATAAGACTCATTCATTTGTTGATATTATTCTGGGCTTATAGGGGATAGAGAGGTTTTCTAAAATTTATATGTGTATTGAGGACACTGATAGCATCAATTTGCACCATTCTCATTTTCACTCTGTGGTTTCTACAATTCTAAAAAAACTAAGTGTTTTATGACGTCAAATATGCTTTATAACACATGGCCCTTCGTGGTTAGTGACGTCATCAAACACTTAGTTTTAGTGAAATTGCAGGAACCACAGACATCTGATTGAAAATTGGAATGATGCAAATTGATGTTAGTGATCACATTAACGATAAGATTTCCTTATCTTCAAATATGAAAATGAAAATGCTAATACTTATATGAATAGAAAGTAGAGGTGTTCTTAAGACTTCAAAAAATGCCAGTTTGTCTCACATTATAAGTTCATAATTAGAAGAGAATT